TGATATTTGTGGTAGATTTGGCCATTTGGCGAAGTTTTGTTATGATTTAAAAAAATATTCAAACTTGCCAAATTTCTTAAGTAAACCACATTTGTTTGATAATATTTCTCATTTGCAAAATAATTTTAAAAGACAATCTTTGTTTGCAAATGGTTCCCATGTACGAGCATATGGTCCACAAAAACAAATGGGTCTCTTTTATTGCACAAATTACAATCGGAATGGTCATTTGAGCAATTATTGTTATGACCGGGTTAGTGCACCAAATGTGCCCAAAAGGGTTCATAACCCTAGGGCTTTGAGCTTTATTTATAGGGGTCATGTCCCCAAACAATCTGGTACTAAGAATGCTTGGGTGCCAAAATAATTTTTTAACCAAGAACTTAATGTTTTTATTTTTTTCTTTTTCTTGGTTTTTAAAATATGCTTTAAAAATTTAAATATGAAAACAATTTCTCTTTGATCAAAATCTTTTGTTTTCATGACTATGAGTTTCAATTTTTATGAGAGGTTTATATTTATGTAACCCCCCGGGTTTATTGGGTGTTTATTCCCAAATCATGTTTACAGAATGCTAGAATGATTATATGGGTTAGAACAAGCTTAAGAGCTTGATACATTGTTGCCTCTCTTGAAATTCTTTTGTTAAAATTTTGTTTTGATTTGTTGCTTTGAATTCATTATATTTCACCTATATGATGATATTTATATGTTTGAGCTCATGGATCATCTATTCGTGACTTATAATGTATTCTATGAGTGGTTTGATCAAGTTATACAAAGAAAATTTTCTTTTTTGATCAAACATTGTTTTTGGACTCAAATCTAGATTTATGATTTCATTTGAGTGATTTGTTTTCATTTGAAAACTTTTTTTCATGGTTCTCATGTTTTCCTCATTCCTTTGTTTTCATAAATTTATTCATACATGGTTTTATATTTGAGTAATGAGACATTATTTCATAATGACATATCAATATGTGTTCTCATTGTCTTATTTGTATGTGAGTTATGTTTAGCATATCTTTTATTTATGTTTACTCACATGTTTTTGCCTTAGCATTCATTTCATATACTATTAAGGTATTTTGATAGGGGGAGCAATCTCTATACTTGTTTTATACTCACCCATACTTATTTGTAGGGGGAGCTTTCGCTCTCTTCATCTTTTGTCCCCTTTTTGATGTTGTCAAGGGGGGGGGGGGGAATATTGTGAGTATAGCCTTTCTTATTTATATGCATGATAATTATAATTTACAATATTAATTTCCTTTCATGCATATATCTTTTTGTAAATTATTTGTCATCATCAAAAATAGGGAGATTGTTAGCCTTCTTGTTTTGATGATGGTTTACAAACAATTTACTTCTAATATTGCTTGTCTAGTGTTTGTGTTTTTGTATCAATTGTAGACAAACAACAGGTTGGAGGATGGATGGAATTGCGCTTCAACGATCATATCCAATGAAGGTTGGCGGAATAGTGGGTGAAGCTTATGCAATTCAAGTTGAAGATCCAAGTTCTAGCTTCATCCGCAATGTGTACCAAGTCAAGTTTATTGAAGATCCAGATTGCTTGGGTAACATTTAGTTTAGGAGTTTATATTATGTGTGTTAGTACTTTAAGCTCAATATTTTTATGTGGATAAGTTGGTTTGATCTAATTTCATAGATATAAAACAAATATATATTCATATACATACTTATATGTTTCATATTCTATTGTATTTGACAAAATATTGTATTCATTAATTATAGACTTCATAACAATAGTTTACATCTTTCTTTAAGTCTATAAAATCATTTTGTAGAGTTTCAAAAGTTTGTTTAAGTCAAATGTCAAAAACATGTATGTTTAGTTTTCATGTTTTTGGACTATTTTGAAAATTGATGATATTTTACATTTGGGAAGTTCTTTTTAAAAACCAGTTTTTGTAACATGTTTATTATCATGTTTACAATCATTTTCCAAAGTTTTATATTTTTTAGAATTTATTTGATTTTTTTAAACCCAGTTTAAAGTTGATTTTTTCTGTGCACTTCAGGTCTGTGCATGTTTAGTCGACTCATTAGTCGACTCATGAGTCGACTCATAAGTCGACTCACGAAGTGCACCGTAGTTATGATTTTTCTTCTGCTGAGTCAACTCATATAAGTCGACTCATAAGTCGACTTATGAAAGAGCCGTTGCACAGTAACGGCGAGTTTCCAGCAGTGTTTTCTGGGGGCTTTTTTTGTCTTTTCAGTTAGGTTTTGGCTGATGTCTTGGGTTGTTATAATACCCCATTGCCTTCAGCTCTTCAACCAACTAAGAGAATGTTTTAACAAAGTTTTAACAATGGTTTAAGTTTTGTTTAGTGTTTGTTTAAAAAGCTTTTAAGCGTTTAAGAGTTTTGTTTGTGAAGAGAATTTCACAAGAGCAAGTGGAGATCATCCTTGGTGTTTGAGCATTCACTCTTCTCCCTCTCTCTTGTTATCTATAGAGAAGTTTCCCTAAACTCAATCTAGCTTTACATTTATATTGTTTAATTACCATTTTATTAAGCTAGTGTTTATATTGAGTTTAGTTGATTTTGTTTACTCTTCGTTTACACACACAACCATTGAGCTTATTGTATTTGCATACATTTTATAATTAGGTTGTGGGATTGTGTGACATTAAGTGTGAGCCTACATTGTGTTCTCATCTATTGTAGAGAACAAATTTATATTTGTGTGCTTAAATTGTGAAGTTCACTTTGTAATACACTTGTACACCGAGAAGAGTATGTGGTGAGGACGGAGTCGATACTGAGAGGAGTGGCGTCGATGGCCTAGTGAGAGGTGATAATTCCGAGCACTTGAGGGAGTCGATACATGAGGACCAACACTTGAGGTTATAGCTTGTGTATGTACTTTGTGAGGATTTGTGAGAGTTGTCGGTTGACTTGATAACCGAGTGTGCAGACTTTTCGGTTAGCTAGAAAACCGTATTATGAGGTATAAACATTTTTCAGGTAAGCGTAGAAAACCCAGTGTGATAGTGAAGATCTCCTCGAGGTGAGGAGCGGGGACGTAGGTCGTAGGGACCGAACCTCGTGAACATATCGTTTGTTTGTGATTGCATTGACGCACTTATTTTTTATGTTCATATCTTATATCGCCTTTGTATATTGCTCATTATTTATATAACCCACTATCTAGTTTAGTTTGTTTACCCTTGAGTGTTTTGTATATATCTCATAGTATATCTTATTGCTAGGATATAGCCTTTTGTTCATATTGCATATTATTGCTCATAATTAGTTATATATCTATCTTGCAAGAATATATTTGTTAATAAGTTTTAATTGGTATTTAAATCGGATTAGATTAGCATAAACTCTATTCACTCTTCCCCACTCTAGGGTTCTTTCCTAGTGGCATTAGGGTCTAACAAGCAGGAGGAGCTATATCATGGAAAAGAGTCAAACAGACACTTGTAGCTTCATCCACTACGGCAGCAGAGTTTGTAGCTTGTTATGAGGCATCCAATCATGGAATATGGTTGCAAAATTTTGTTATTGGACTGCGTATTCTAGATAATGTTGAAAGACTACTAAAGTTATTTTGTGACAGTAAATCAGCAGTGATGTATTCCAATAACAACAGGAGCTCGACTAAGTCAAAACATATTGACATTAAATTCTTGGTTGTGAAAGAAAGGGTACAGAGTGGACAGATATTCATAGAGCTCATTGGGACAAACTCCATGATAGCAGATCCTCTTACTAAAGGATTGCCACCCAAGGTCTTTCATGAGCACAATGCTCATATGGATGTGGTATTATTCGAGGATATCATGATTTAGTGGGAGTTTGTAATTTTCTGATGCTTTGTGTTTGGTTGTATTGCTTGATCAGAATAAAGTATTTAGTTAAGACACTCTGTTTCATTATGTTTGGTTTTGACCTCACTAAAGTTTAAGGTAGGACCAGTTGAAAATAGATATGTACTGATCGCATTGCATGTAATTTTTATGCTGCACATCCATGATTGATCTATGTCGTTTGATTGTATTGGTATATGTGACCATTGATGGGTTTTGTCACGATAAATGTGACGAAGACCACTTTGATCCTATATTGATATTATCAATGGACGAGATTATTCAGAAATACCCTTATTTGTGGTAGCAATTTCTAAGCGCATAAGGTTGTACATGTTTTAATGAAACATATAGTGCCCAAATGGGAGATTGTTAGATTAAATCTAATTATGGGCATATATGTTACATTAGTGTATAATGCTATCTTTAAGGCTAACCCACATAAAGTGATCAATCAATTTGGATTAATGGGTATTTAAGTAAATCATGGGCTAATTGTGCAGAGACCAGACTGCAATTCTAATTTTATAAGGGGCTCAATTAGAAAATTACAAATCTATATAAAGGGGTTATGGTCCCTAATCTAAATGTTGCGTTCTCTATTCTCTAATCCTCATCTAAAGAGATATTCAAAAGACACCTTTCAGATTAGAAGATCAACCCTATTCAGATCCTTGCTAAAATCAATATGGATTCATGTATTGCTTCTGCTCATTGTTTTGTTTATTCTCTTTGAATTAAACATGGTTTTATGGATTAGATCTCAGATTTAGATCTAACAAATATGATTTAAATGGTAGGATGTTGAACTATATGGAATCTCTCAAGAATGAAATTTGAATTTTTGTAAAGGATGGGATCAAACTTGCCGAAAGATTACTATATAACCATACTTAATATATATTTATAATGATTATAGACTAAGACTCAGGCCTCCTACTAGTTTAGCCTAGTCTTGAACCTTCCATCTAAATCTTCCATAGTTCTTTTAAATCTTCACATGTCTTTCTCTTGTATCTTGAAAATGTGCAAGTTTCTGTAATGTTCTAGAGTTCTCTCTTAATAATCACATGGAGCTTGAAGTCTTGACGTCTATAGATTGTTTTCGGTCAAAAGATTTTAAAAGATTCGAGATAATGAAACGGTCATTCTCTTTTATTATTCTCTTAGAAACTAATAAACCCAGCAAACCAAGCCTATACAAATCCGATTAAAGCTTATACAAATCCTCTCAGAATAGGTTCTTCGATGACCACAACATTATACAGTGACGTGTTCTAGATGAAAATTTTATAAACCCAGCAAACCAAGCCTATACAAATCCGATTAAAGCCCATTATAATGAAGTAGGCTGGCGACACTCTGTAATAAGACTAATGATCACCTTTTCACACGTTGAAAGGGTCTTGCAACAAGATGAAGATTCTGCCTTCTTCTCGTCGTTAATCCAGGAGAATCGCCCATGTCTAGATCCTCGCTTTTCATGCCATCAGGCAACTCCCAGTCGAACCGATACATCAAATTTGCCAAGGCAAGCTCAAGATTTGCAGCCGCAAAATGCATCCCTGGACAGATTCTGCGGCCCGCACCGAAAGGAACGAACTCAAAGCACTGTCCTCTGAAATCAATATCACTGTCAAGGAACCTCTCAGGCCTAAACTCTTCGGGATCCTCCCATACTTTTGGATCCCTGCCCATCGACCACGCATTAATAAGCACTCTTGTTTTGCTAGGAACTTCGTACTGCTGGACGTTGCAATGATCCATTGATTCTCGTGGAATTAGTAACGGAACCGGAGGGTGCAATCGTAATATCTCCTTTATCACGGCCTTCAAGTAGAACATTTTGCTTATGTCTTCCTCTCTGACCACAGTTTCAGAGCCGGCCACGCTTCTTACTTCATCCTTCAATTTTTTCATTGTTCCAGGGTTTCGAACAAGCTCTGTCATACCCCAATCTAGGACTAGGAATGACGTTTCAGTCCCTGCTGCAATCATATCCTATCAAAATTAAGAAAGCATGCTGGTGAGTAATAGGAGACGGAGAACAAATTAAATATTTCCATGATTTGGTAATTTAGAAAGATTTACCTGTAGGATCGCCTTGATGATGTTCCTGTTGAGGGTGAAACCCGTGTTGTCGTCTTCCTGAAGAGCCATCAGAACACTTACAAAGTCGGCTCTCTCCTCTTGATCGTCCGCATCCCCCGTTTCATTTGACCTTTTCACGTGATCTTCGATAACCTCATCGAGGACATCGTCCCATTTTTTGGCCGTCGCTCGGGCCCTCGCCCCCACACCAAAAACTAAATCCAACCATCCGAGTGACGGAAAGAAATCACTTACGCTGAACTGTGCAAGGATGGCAATATTCTCCCTAATTAGCTTACAGAAAACATTGATCCTGCCTTCTTCCTCTACGAAAAACTTGCCAGAAATAGCGTTAAACAAGATCTTGCTCGTGAACAAATTCAAAACTTCACTCATGTTGACCAGACCGGAAATCCTTGTTAACATAGAGGAAACTTCCTCTTCACGCATTAGTCTAAACGACTGCACCATTTTCGCACTCAGAAGGTGATTAACACAAAGCTTTCTCATCTGTCTCCAATGCTCACCATAAGGTGCGAATACAACATCGGTAGCTCCGTTAAGGAGAATATCTGAGGTCAATAAGCTAGGTCTGCTTGCGAAGATGTGGTCGTGAGTTCTCATGATCTCCCGAGCCATGTCTGAAGACGAAACGATAAGCGTGGGTATCTCACCGAGTTTGAGGAGCATCAAAGGTCCATACTTGACTGAGAGAGCATGAAGAGATTGATGGGGGAGTGAGCCCAATTGATGCAGGTTGCCAATTAGGGGAAGCTTTGGTGGGCATGGTGGGAGCTTGGAACTTGTTGATTTTTCCCTTCTGATGACGAGAAGTAGAATTGGGAGCAAAAGCAGGATAACAAGGATGAGAGGCATGGTGAGATGCTACTACGGTGGGCTTCAGTCGAGGACAAGGAGGACGAGGCCCTGTGAGATAAAGATGGGGATCTATTTAAGACTGCTAACATTTAAGAGTACAAGTCTTGCTCTGGCTAAGGACGACGGCTTTTGACTTTGGGAGGGTTGAATATGTCTTTAAATATGACATCAACCAACAATTTTCGTGCGAAATAGTATATATATATTAATTGTTTGAAATCATAGACTAAAATCAGAGGCTGTGACGTATGGACTTAAGAACCAGATTTTCTATGTGCAACAGTGTACGTGATCACTAGGGACTAATACTTGCTACGATTTTTTGACAGATTTTAAGGCAATGTTTCTTAACGAACTAGACGAAGTAGATAATTTTAGACAGGTTAGCAGCTTTAGACTCTATTTCCTGCAACCAAGTGTTATGGCTCGTTGCACCACTGAATACCTGAATCCTCTAGCACCAATTAAGCATATTAACAATCACAGAGGGAGGAAACCCATATTAACAAGCACGTGGGTGGGTCCCCCCACGATCACAATTCTCCACCTCGTACATCATTTGATAATCCTTAAATTTTTGACGAACACCAGAAGAACCCCACGAACTCCACCAGAGATATCCAGGACAAACCAGGCTAAACCAGCTGCGTCACTATACCGCGACTGCCTACGTACCCTCCACCGGGATCAAGCTAATCGTAGTTCTGCAATCATTCTCCAACATAGTCTCCACCTCACCTCCATTACTGCCCCGCAGGGCCATGCCCTCTTGGGAAAATCAACACGGGCTGATATGAAGCAAGTCCAAGCAATGCTGGAACTTGCTGCCTGTGACCACCTTGGTTAACATGTCCGCGGGATTCTCATTCGTATGCACCTTCATGAGAGAAATATCACCATCCTCTATGACATCCCGCACAAAATGATATCTGACGTCGATATGCTTGGTACGAGCATGGTGAACTTGATTCTTCGCCAAGTGAATTGCACTTTGACTGTCGCACCACAAATTCACACTCTCCTGCTCAATCCCCAAATCGTCTAGAAGACCCCACAGCCACAATACTTTCTTCACTCCCTCCGTCATGGCCATGTACTCGGCCTCTGTAGTAGAAAGTGCCACTGTAGCTTGCAACATCGATCGCCAACTAACTGGAGCTCCATGTATCCTGAATACATAACCAGTAGTAGATCGCCGTCTATCTAGATCGCCCGCATAATCTGAGTCCACATACCCGTCGACCTAACATGTATCTTCACCAAAACACAGACCCGTATCCGCGGTACCTTTCAAGTACCTCAAGACCCATTTCACCGCTTCCCAGTGCGCCTTTCCCGGATTCTCCATGAATCTGCTGACCACACTAACCGCCTGTGAAATATCAGGGCGTGTACACACCATGGCGTACATCAAACTGCCAACTGGCCTTATCTTCCGCTGTAGTGGGAGATTGTTTACCTGAGAGTCTGAAGTGTGGAGCCAATGGAGTCACCACCGACTTTGCACTTTGCATGCCGAACCTCGCGATCACCCGCTCTATGTAGCCCTTCTGACTTAAGAACAATCGCCGATTTGCCCGTTCTTTTCTAATCTCCATACCCAATATTTTCTTTGCAGCGCCCATGTCCTTCATCTCGAACTCATTGCTAAGTTGAGATTTCAGCTTATCTATCTCCACCTTGTTTTTCGATGCAATAAGCATGTCATCCACATACAACAGGAGATAGATATAATCACCTCCACGAAGCTTACGAATGTAAACACAACAATCATAATCGCTTCGGGAAAACCCATGCTTCAGCATGAAGGAGTCAAATCGCTTGTACCACTGTCGCGGAGATTGCTTCAATCCGTAAAGTGACTTCCTCAAGCAACATACATGATGCTCCTTATCCTCAACCTTGTAGCCCTCAGGTTGATGCATGTAGATCTCTTCATCCAAGTCTCCGTACAAGAAGGCCGTCTTGACATCGAGTTGTTCCAGCTCAAGATCACCATGAGCAACAATACTCAGTAGCACCCGAATAGAAGTGTGTTTCACCACCGGAGAAAATATCTTATTGTAATCCACACCCTCTCTTTGTGCAAACCCCTTAGCCACTAGCCTCGCCTTGTACATCGTTCCACCGAGCTTTGAAGGATCTTCATTTCTTTTATACAGCCACTTACAACCTATAGCTTTCTTTCCTACGGGCAACGGGACCACCTCCCATGTTTGGTTCTTCCGGAGAGATTTCATCTCCTCCTCCATCGCAGCCAACCAACTCTCGCTATCCTTGTCCCGAATAGCTTCCTTGAAGGAGACCGGCTCATCTTCCTCCACCGAGAGTGCGTATTCAACCAAATTAACATGCCCATAGTGCTTCAGGGGTTGATCAGGCCCCAGCTTCTGTACCTGCTTATATACTCGCCTTGGCCTAGTGGAAGCCAAGCTATCCTCGAGCTGTTGTTGTTGTAGTGCATGTGTATTCTCCTGCTGAACCTCCTCCTGCTCAAGCTCATCATCTACCTGATTTCCCACTTGAACACGACTAGAACCTGGTTGGTCTTTCGGTTCTATCTCAATAACCTGGGACTCGGGAGTCCCGACAGTATCAACACCACCATCTTTGGGCACCCTAGCAATCATGGACTTCTCATCAAAGGTAACGTCCCTGCTGATCACGAACTTTGAATCTTCTGTACACCAAAGGCGATAGCCTTTTACACCCTTTGCATACCCCAAGAAAATTGCCTTCTTGGCTCTCGCGTCAAGCTTTCCCTCATTGACGTGATAGTAGGCGGTACACCCAAAGATTCGGAGCCTCTCATAATCTGCATGCTCCCCTGACCACACCCGATAGGGTGTATCACCGTCCAATGTCGAATGTGGAGATCGATTCACGATATAGCAAGCTGTAGCAATCGATTCTGCCTACCATTCTTTGCCCAAACCAGCATAAGATCGCATACTCACTGCTTTCTCCCACAGTGTTCGGTTCAGTCTCTCCGCGACCCCATTTTGCTGTGGTGTAGACCTGACTGTCCAGTGTCTGGCAATGCCCTCCTGATCACAGAACTCCTTGAAGGCACCATCTGTGTACTCTGTACCGTTGTCAGATCTCAACGTCTTCAATTTCTTGCCCGTCCTGTTCTCAACCATCGCCTTCCACTTCTTGAATGTCTCAAATACCTCATTCTTATGCTTCAGGAAATACACCCAAGCATACCTCGAATGATCATCTATGAATGAGACAAAATATCTGGAACCACCTTTGGAAGTTGTCGAAGCCGGACCCTAAACATCCGTGTGCACATAATCTAGTATCCCTCTGCTCTTGTGCTTGCTCCTCAGAAATTGAACCCTGTGCGCCTTTCCATACACACAGTCCTCGCAAAAATCCATGCAATGCTTCTTCAGATTCTTCAGCAAACCCTCTTTACCAAGCAGATCCAGACCCTTCTCTGACATGTGCCCAAGCCACCTATGCCATAATCGTGTGTGCTCACATGGGTCTCCACCACTTCCTTCAGCTCCAACTGCTGCATCTCCCGTCACCGTCGTACCTGAGAGAGTATATAGATTACCGTGACGTGACGACATAACATTCCTTATCGCTCCCATCCTCTGAAGCGTAGCTCGCCTCTTCCTTGCCTTCTCGTCTTTCAGTCTTGTTGTTGTTCTTTTTCCCACCTACTCTCTTGTTAGGACAATCGACCTTGAAATGCCCAACTTCACCGCATTTGAAACACGCTCGTCCCGCAAGAGGTCTCGATTTCGATCTAGACTTTCCTCCCTTGCCTTTTCCTCGCTCATTGCCTCTTCCTCTGGCAAACAGTCCCTGCGCTTGTTCTTTGTTACCACCAGTGGCCATATCACTAGTTGTAATTTTTCGAAGATCATCCGCTAGAAGCGCCGTTCTAGTGTCATCCATCGATAAATTTTCACCCACAAGCATCAGTGTTTGCACTAGGTTCTCATAAGACTTCGACAGAGATAGAAGTAGTAGAAGCGCCTGATCCTCGTCTTCCACTGTCACCTCAATGTCTTTCAAGTCCGATATGGTCCTATCGAACTTGTTGATATACTCCCGGATTGACGAGCCCTCCTCTATCTTGCAAGTATACAATTTGGATTTTAAATAGATCCGGTTCGTTAGACTCTTCGTCATGAAGGTGCTTTCTAACTTCAACCACACGCCCGCAGCCGTTTCCTCCCCATCTACCAAGAAAGCTACATCTCTCTCACGGCATAGGATAATCGACGCTCGTGTTTCCAGATCCAGCTCCTCCCAATCCTCATCAGACATATTTTTATGCTTCTCTCTTCCAGCCAAAGCCTTGTGCAACTTTTGCGAAATCAGCGAATTTTTCATCTGCATCCTCCAATAGGAAAAATCATTTTTCCCATTAAATTTTTCAATCTCGTACTTTCCAATTTTATTTGTTTTACTTGTAGACGCCATTTTCTGCTTGTATCCGCTTCTCTCAGGAATTTTTAACAATTTCTTTGTGTTTTACCACACAATATTCAACCACCACATCAGATCAGAAATATTACCACCTCCAATCTGAATAAGGGCTCTGATACCAATTGTTGGGGCGGAGTCACGCCCGTCGCCGCGGAAGCGATATCACCTGAGAGAGAGCCCTGGCTTTCGATGTCACAAAAGCACAAGTCAACCTCTAAATTCTTGTTTCTCAAAGGAAACGAGAATAGATAATGAAATTTTTATTTCTCAAAGGAAACAAGAATCGAAAGTGATATATTTCATCAAAGTGAAATATACACTCTTCCTCTCATCAGTTCAAGGACTGAAATCTCGAGGGAACCTACAAGCTATGGCAACTCACAGATAAGATAAATACAAACACGAGATTTTTACGTGGTTCGGCAAACTAGCCTACGTCCACGGGAGGGGGTTTTACTATGGAGGAAAAATACCAAACTTATACAAGTTCTCTCTTCCTCTCTTTCTTTTCTCTCAAAAATACTCAACTTGAGATTTTTTCCACAATTTTCCCCATACACAAACACCTCTATTTATAGGAAATTAGGGGGCCGGGTCTGAGGCATTTAGGCGGGCAAAGAAACGCGAGAAGAGAAGTTCGCGCGCGCGGGAGCAG